GCTGGTAGTTATTGCATGGAAACAATTGAATGCAAAATACTGGAGGGTATGATGGGATAAAATATAGGTTGTAGAGCAGTATCACGTATAAGGGTGAGCAAAATAATCCCAACTCATCTCAATCCATCTAAAACTGATATAATAGCTGAATTTCATCCGACCAATTTTTATATATATTTTTTTTAAATCATTTTTAAAAAAAATAAAAATTGAACCAATTCATTTTATAAAAAAATGTTCGGTTAACAAACAATTTTTATGAAATGATTGGTTTGATTTGATTGAATTTCTTTTAAAATTTGATACATGAATAATTCTAATTAAATATATTAAAAAAAATTGTGTAATACACTTACCACCTTAAGTTAGTAAAGATAATTTATTTAAAAAAATTAAAATAATAATCATTATTATATATATATATATAATAGACTTAAATATGTTTTTAGTCTCTATAAAATTTATAAGTTTTGATTTTAGTCTTTGTAATATTTTTTCTTTATTTTTCATCCTTATAAAATTAAAACTATTATTTTTAGTTTCTATTTTTATGTAAGCATTTTTTAACTATTTTTTATTTATTAAAAAGTTAAATAACTATCTTAAGTGATACTTACAATCATTGCTGATATTATATCGATACTTAACACCTCTAAAAAAATTATAAGTCTTTAAAATAAATATTATTTATCTATCTTAAAATGATCATTAGGGACTAAAAATGATTAATTTAGATTTTAGAGGGATGAAAATAAAAAAAATATTTTACAGGAATCAAAATTAAAATTTACTTATTTTTCAAGGACCAAAAATAATATTTATAAATTTTAAAATGATAAAAACAAAAAAAAATTTAGAAAGACCAAAATCAAAATCATTAATTTTATAAGAGTTAAAAACATATTTAAGTCTATATAATAGTATAAATTTGAATATCCTTGTACTATTTATCCTTTTTCTAAATTTTTTTTGCTGATAAAAAAAGAGGTGTTTGGTATTAAGATTTTTTCTTTTACTTTTTGATAAATCTAAAATTTAGAAAATCAATCTTATATTTGATATACTAATTAAAAAAACAATATTTTTAATGAAACATTGTTTCTTAAAAATAATTTTCACTTATGTTTTTTTTTTTTTTTTTTTTATGAAATTGCTTCCATGAACGTAAGTGATAATTTAATATTTTTGAATTAAATAAAAATTTTATTCTGATTAAAAATTATTATGTTACGTACCTTTATTTTTTATTTAATGTAATTGTGATTTTCAAATAATATATATAATTATTCTTAAAAATATTTATAATTAATCAAACATATTTTAATTATTTTTAAATAATTTTGATCCTTTTTTTTCTTTCTATCAAACACATTCTAACATAAAATTCACTTTGTAACAACGGATGTAAAAAATATTTTTTAAAATTGATTTTTTAACAATTGCAGTAAATGTGGATGTCCTGTTGTCAAATCGATTAAAGAACCGTTATTTTCACAAACAATAATATAAAAAAATATATATGAGCTTAATATTTTTTTTATTTAAATGGATCACATGTAAAAAATTTGATTATTCCTTCCTTTTTATTTTTTGTTTGATGCAATAATAATTCATTTTCTTCCTGAAGTTAAATGTTCTTCTCTTTTATATTCCAAATTTCTTAATTATTATAAGCTTTCCATTTAAACTACATTCATTTATTTTTATAAAGCTTCCACCATTGTTTTATACACACCATTTTCTTAACCATTAAAAAACATTATTAAATAAAATATTGACAATATCTTACATTTTATTTTTGGATCTATGATCGACTCGTCTATTTTTCATGCACGTATAAGAAATTTTCTCTTCTACAAATTTTCAACTTCCGAAACTAAATAGTTTCTGCCCTCCATTGACTTTTCATTGTTGGCTTCCCTTTGCAAACAATCTTTCAATATATATGAACATGGCACATGCCGTATATATATATATTTCCTACCATATTGATTACATTAAAATAGTGAACTTCGTTTTCTGATTTATTTATGAATGCATGGGATATATTTAAGCAGACAAAACATCACTCTTCTTTTGAGAGTGAAGCAACAATTTGGATAAAACAATTACAGTCGAGTCCATTCACCATATAGGACGATGCTGTTTCCATGACACAGTAGTCAACAGCATAAACAGTATGCAATATCAAATTCAAACGTTGCTACTACTGTTTACTGGGTTGTTGCTGTTTCATTTTCTCCCCTCAAAATACACATTAGCCGGCAGATATATACGTCCCTAGCTAGGCAAATTCATTCATGCCAATCACACGTACACAAACAATATTATTAATAATAATAATTATTATTATTATTATTATTATGTACCACACAGAAAAACCCTAAATCTAAAATTGCATTAGGTACGGTTTATCTTTATTTCTTATTAATCTTTGTTATTTTCTTTCCCATCAATTACAATCTGTTGCTTCCATCGCTCTTGTAAGCAGAACGAAATCATGAATATCCAGTTTTCATTAAAATTTGAAAAACACCTTGATATTTTCGATCCCATGTATCCTGAAAATCCTGGCAGAAATTAATGAAGCCTGGATAATAGATTTAATATCACATTTATTGTGAGAGAGCTCTCTTCGGCAGCGTATTTAGAAATCGTAATGCCTTTTCATTTCATCATTTTTTTATGGATCATTTCATTTCAACATGATAAGGTTGACCTAATATTAGCTAACTGCAAAAGTTATAATCTTTGTCAGGTTATATATAGCCCATTCACAAGGCAGCAATATCGGCTGTGGACTCATGAGAATAATATATAGATGTTACAAACTAAAAGAAAATAAATTAATTAACGAAATATATATACTGTCATGCATATATATAAAAAACTTTATGTGGGTGTTAGCTGTTCTATTCTATAGGGGCCGAGGGTAAATTAATCATGAGATGACGTAACTACACACGGAAGAAATGTACCAAAATGCCTTATCATCTCTAGCGGGATATCTTTATCTTTATTTTGTTGTTGTAGGATTACTATCCCCAATTATCTTTAGAAAAAAATTGAAATAAGTTTTTTTTATATATAAATTAAAAGTTTAATTATATTTTTATCTCTTTAGTATTATAATTATATAACTTTTACTCATCAAATTTTAATTAAATAATTTTAATTCTTTAAATATCGTAATTGTACGATTTTAATCTATTAAGTATCATAATTATACAATTTTTTATAAATTACATATATTATAATTTTTATTTATGTATTAAATTTTATATTTATTATTATAAAATTAACTTAAATAAACAAAAATTTATATAATTATAATACTTGAGATTAAAATTATATAACTATAATAATTAAGGAACTAAAATTACTCGATTAAAATTATAAAAACTAAAATCACATGATTTTTATATTTGAGGGATAAAAACATATTTAAACCTAAAAAAATAAAATTAGTTTATGTATAGGACAAAAGTAAAATTTTGAAGAACTAATTAGAACGAACTCTTACAAATTAACTATAACATAACCTAATTTTAGCTTATGTAAAAGTTTATATATCATTTTTTTTCATTCTATTTTTCTATTCTATAAATGATTCTAGAAATATTTACCTTAATAGACCCTATATCAGATTTTGGAGAATTACTAAATTAGTCCACTATTCAAGTTGGAGTAACACAAGCTTATTAATAATAAGTAAATTTAGAAGATGTTTGGATATAATTTTATAAGTAATTATTAACTTCTTATTCATATATGTCAGTGCTATTGTGCTTAATTTTTTTTTTATGAGCAACAATGGTAGATAGAGGATGATACTCCCAAAACTATCAACTAAAAATTCAATAATATGTTAGAAATTTTCAAACTAAACATTATTATCTACTTAATGATTAATCAATACTTAATAATATCTAATTTAAACTAGAACTCTACTTTGCTAAATTGTAGGCCAATAGAGACCCATCAAAGAGCAACAAATCATTTAATCAAGTGTTACAATATTTATCGGAAAATGTTATAAATAAGGAAATAAATTAGAAACTTTTATTTTAAAAATATTTTTATATATAAAATATTAAAAAAAATGTAATATTTATTTATTTATCTTAAAAAGAATTTTAGGAAAAGAAAGTTATTTTTATCATAGTGATTAGATGATTAATTTTAAAGTTTGAGAATTAAATTTACTTTTGTAGTTAAAAGGACCAAATGCATAATTTACTTATTTATTTTTTTATTGTTATACATCTAAATGAACGATTGATCCAGTGGCCTTTTTTTTTGTTGTTGACATTGATCGATGGCCAATCCTTCTTATTATACGTATAGTCGTATACCTTTAGTCCTCCTATTATCTCTTAAAAATAATAATTAAAAAAATAATTCAACAATATTTTATCAACATTTGGTCTAGGTCTATGTCTAACGTTATTTATTGTAAGAGTATAGACATCTAAATACGAATATTCAAACTTCTGCTTAACGACTTGATGTTTTTATCCAGCTAAAAAAATCCTAGTTTAAAGAAATTATAATGTCTCTGTTTTCGTACCACGTTCACATTGGAAGTAGTTATTATAAACGAAAATGTGGAAGAAAAAGAAAAAGAGGAAACTAGACTTGTGATGTGTGTATCATTTGTGGAATTGTCTTACTTTTACTTAATACTCTTACCATCCTCACTGACTGGAGTATCTCACGCTTCCATCTCAAGCAAAACCGGTCGATGAGGTGGCGCTTTCTGATTGAGACCCGGCACGTGCCTCCTCCCTCATGAACACGTGTCCCTTTTACACAACCAGTAAAATACAACAATACAATGAAGTATATTTCATGGCAAAACAAATTGCACCGAATAATACACACAAGTTTATTCATGAATAAATAAAAAAGATAAATTGCGATAGTGGGTTTTGGGGACTTTTGGCGACTTTGGAGTTTAGAGGGACTGATTTCTATATATAAATAAGTAGGTGGTGGTGCTCTGTCCCAAGTCCCAACTTATGTGCATATTCCTCTTAACTCCCTTCTCTTGAATCTGAATTCGAGTGTTAAGGGATCATTCAAATTTCATAACTTGGCTTTGTAGCATTTCCCTTTAGGTATAAAATGGGAAGGCAACCTTGTTGTGACAAAGTTGGGTTGAAGAAGGGGCCATGGACTGCAGAGGAGGATAAGAAGCTCATCAACTTCATCCTCACTAATGGCCAATGTTGTTGGAGAGCTGTTCCTAAGCTAGCAGGTCTCCTCTCATACCATTTCTTAACACACACATGGCCACATAGGGATTTTTTTTGTCTACACTTCAAATTTAAGATCATATGCATGTTATTCCAATCTCTCACTTGGGACTTTAGTCCTTAATTTGTAGCCACTCATGGACTTAATGAATAATGAATGAAGCTGAAATGCCAGTTTCATGCTTCACTTGTTATTTGGTTATGAATGAATATCTTAAAATGGTTCAACAATATTTTGCATTATGGTCAATTGGTTTTTGGTCTGGTCTTTCTTCTAGCTTGAGTTCCCTGCTTGTTCCTCTGCCCTTCTCTGTTTTCCAATCTGTCAAGGACTAGGAAATCAAGCACAACTCAAAATTGACTGTATTCTTTTCACCTTATAAAATTAGTCTTGAAAACATGGTTAGGTATTTTAATCAAAAAATGTTAGAGTTTGCATGTGTTTCTTAGGTTTTTTTTTTTTTTTGGGAAAGGAGGGGTATACACTTTTCCCTCGGCTTCATATATTGATTGGAGAAAATAATCTTCATGTTCATATTTGTATTTTTGAATACAAATGCTAGGCAGAACAAACAATTACTTCACTGAAGTTAAATTTGACAATTGGGCCATGCAGGACTATTAAGGTGTGGAAAGAGTTGCAGGCTTAGGTGGACAAATTACTTGAGGCCAGATTTAAAGAGGGGCCTTCTATCAGAATATGAAGAGAAAATGGTCATTGATCTTCATGCTCAACTTGGCAATAGGTTATTTCCTCACCCACCGTTTTTATTTTCCTTAATTTTCTGCATGTTTTTTTTCCTCGAAGAACCTTACTAATCATTAAATTTAATGATTGCTACAGTACCCTTTTGAAATATTAGATTTATCTCAGGAAATGATTAAAACATGCCAATGATATCTTATATCACCAAACGCACCAACCAAATTGAATTTATTATTTTATAATACATAGACATCAAGTTGTAATTTCTTTAGTGTCTAAATGTATGTGGTCCCATGGCTCACTGCTAGGACTAAGGAGGCGTATAAAAATTGTGGACTAAGCTCTTTACTTTTCTTTGTATTTTTCATTTTTATTTCAGGATTAAAATAAAAGAAAAGGAACTGCTCATGATTGCGGTTAAAATTGACTAAAATTGGGTGTCATTGACGTAGAAAAGTAAATAGTGGCCAAAATTTGTCTTGTGGAGAAATTTTCTGATTTCGTAACTTGCATGGCATATGGAACATTTTAGTGGCTATAAAGTCATTCTTCCTTTCAAGTGATCTCCAACCTTATGTTAATGATGGAATCTTTTTCTTTCGCGTGTTTTGCTTTTGTAATAATATACTATTTTACTAATCACTATGTCATTTTCCTTTCTATGCAGATGGTCCAAGATTGCTTCTCATCTGCCTGGAAGAACTGATAATGAGATAAAAAACCATTGGAACACCCACATAAAGAAAAAGCTAAAAAAAATGGGCATTGATCCGGTCACACATAAACCACTACCTAATGCAATTGAACAAACCCAAAATCAACCCAATCAACAACAACCAGAGGAAGAACAACAACAACATCAACCACCTTTGCAAGTTGACTTTGACCCCAACAAAGAGCCAGAGAAGGCAGAGATTTCACTAGAGTCATCAAACATCACTGAAGGAAAAGATGAAGACCAAGTCATAATTACATCCCCATTTGACTCTATGGAGCTTATGAATGGTTTCTGCACCGATGAAGTTCCAATAATAGAACCTGATGAGATTCTAATGCCTTGTGCAACTTCCTCTTCTTCCACATCCACATCTTCTTCAAATTCAACCAATTTCCTTCAAGACTTGCAGCTACCGGATTTTGAATGGTCTTGTAGTTACAATGATAATATTATTATTAACAATGACAAGAATGAAAACGAAATCAACAACAACAGCAATATGGCCTTGTGGGATGATGACTTTATTAGCAGTCTCAATTGGCTGATTAATGAAGACGATGATAGTGATGGAAACCAAGTATTTGATGACGATCCTTTCACTCAGTTCTCAAGAATGCCCATGGATTCAGAATCTTGGGCATATGGCTTATTTTGATTTCAATTTTTCTGGCTTATTTGCAATTTGTTTCTAAGTTTTTAAAGAAGAATAAACACTGAATCATTCATTAGGAAGAACACAACACAACTCTTGTTTAGCATTACCAACTTTCCCCCCTAACTTTTCACCTTTATCATGTACAAAATATATATATATGATAATGGAACTAATAAGCTCCTTTCTTTATTTTAATTAAATGTAAAACACCTTTGCATTGTTATTTCATGTATTTATTCTTTGTTTTCTTTCTACCAGCGCTTTCTGTTTATTTCTTTTATGATAATAAGACTCCAGAATATGGAAAATTATTGCCACTCATCGTTGTGGCATTGGTGGAAACATGTTGGTTTGTTGTTTTTTTCGGTCGAGCTCATTTTTTACTTTTTATTTTTTTGGTATAACTATTGAGGTGGTTGAAACGCAACTTTCCTTATCTTCACATAACTAAAATTCATTTATATTTATTTTAAGGTTTTGTTAAGCAGTCTCCTTGGAACGCTGACTTAGAAATAATAACATTGAAATAAGCTTTAAGGCAATGTTTAAATTATCTTGTTTTTCCTTCTAATTTTAAAATTTATAAGTCCCTTGTCTTCAGAGATGGAATATATGTTGTAAAAACAAAATTAAAAATATTTCACTTTAATTAAATTATAGTTAAAATATGTTTTATGTCTATAATATGACTTTGTTCGATTTTAGACCATATTTTTTTTCTCCTAACTTTTAGATACTGTCATTTTTTTAGTATTTTTTTACTATTAATTCTATTTAGTTTAGTGCTATTATAACTAACGAAGTAAAAATATTAATTAAGAAAAATGAGATAGCTAATAATATATTTAGTTTATGTTTAACTGCACAATGTATTTATTATTTTATATGAATAAAATAATTATATATAATTTAATATTAACATTTTAATATAATTAATTTTAAGTATATTTTATATTTCAGTTCGTTATTCTTGGTTGGTCGTAATATAATTTACTTTTTAATATATTATAAGTAGGGATTTTTAAAATATTATAAGTAGGTGTAAAAAAAGGTATTTTTGTCTTTTTGGTTATGTAAGGAGATTTTTTGTCTCCAAAGATAAAAACAATATATTAATAAAAAAATTCATAAGTGTTTGTAAAGGTATAAAGCTAAAAATGAATTAGAAAATTAAAAAATAAAAAATAATTAAAAATTTTAAAATATTAAAATAAAAAATAATTATATATATATATATATATATATAATTATTTTTTATTTTAATATTTTAAAATTTTTAATTATTTTTTATTTTTTAATTTTCTAATTCATTTTTAGCTTTATACCTTTACAAACACTTATGAATTTTTTTATTAATATATTGTTTTTATCTTTGGAGACAAAAAATCTCCTTACATAACCAAAAAGACAAAAATACCTTTTTTTACACCTAACACGTAGACACTACGTATGTGCCTCTATGTTTAAAAATAAAAATAAAAATTAAAAAGACTAAAAAAAGCATAAAGACTGAAAAAAAAAGTAAACAATTACTTAAAAAAAAAAAAAAGAACTGTGTAACAATTATTTTGTTTTCAAATTTTATTCTTTAATAACTAATAAAATATTACCATTAAAAAGTAAAAATGTTAAATTAAGTATATACACAAAAAAAATGAAATATCATCTTTATAACAACTAGTTAGATTAAGATATTTCATGTCTCTATTAAAAATAAAAATAAATAATAAATATATATTAATCTAATATTATGATTAATTTATTAATTTTAAAATCTTAATTTTAATAAAATAATATATTATATTTTTTAATTTTTTAAAATAAAAAATATAATAATAAACAAAATATAAAAATCAAGATAATTACTAAAAAAAAAAAGAGATATCCCTTTATATATTACTATATATTATTAATGTATGTATACTTATAGATGCGTCACAAACCTTTCAACTTCTTAAATCAATTCACACGCGTACATTGTCGCTTTTGACTTTCACCCCGATCAGCAACATTTATAAATCAATTCGATTAAAGTACAAAATGAAACTGAATAAATTAAAAAGTAATTAAATCAACAATTTGATAATTTAAATTTTCATTAGATTAAATCTCGTTTAGATTCAAACTTAAAAATTTATTCAATCCAAATTCAACTTATATAATTGGGGTTGGAGATATTAATTATGTCATAAATAAAGCAATGTGTATAAGTGAGAGTGAGAGAGAACTCTCATAATATAAATTGATTTTGTGAAGTTAAGTTAAATTAAAAATTAAATTATAAAATAGTATTATAATAAATATTATTAAACTATTGGTTCACTTATTATCAATCATCATTAAATTATTTACTTATATCTAATATTGTAAATTTTATGTTTGAGATATATAGTTTAGTTCTTAATGTAAAGAGATGTATTAGAGATAATAATATGATTAAAGTTAAAGGTGACAATATGAGTTAATAAATGGTGGGATTAACTTGTTAACTTGACTAAGATACTAACCTACTTGACCTGCCTTGATTAACTTGTTAACTTCACAGGCTAAATGGTGGGATGAGACGAACTAGCTTATCTAATTTTTATTATTTATTTATTTATTTATTATTATTAATGTAAGTTTAATTAAGTTATTTTATATTTATTTGGTGTGTAATTTATTATATAGAAAATCTGTTGTGCATTTTATTTTATTTTATTATATGTAACTTGAGATTTGTTGTGCCATAAATCAAACCAAATCAGTGTATACTAATTTTTGTAGGTTCTTTAGATATTGAAAAAATAATATGTTGAAGATAATTACTTAAAATAAATATGAAACTTTTTCTTTTTTATTTTTTAATTCTTTTTTGCAAGTTGACCAAAGTGTCCAACCTATTTTCATCTGACGGATCAATCTAACCTAGCTCATTTTTTATGCGCTAATGATAGAGTAGTCCATTTTTTTTTATTCCTAATTAAAGTTATGTTAATGACAAGCATGAGACCTTAAACTAGTGAGATAATTTATTTCAAAAATGTTAATTATTATTGTACATATAAAAATAAGACATACATATTACATTAAAAATGAATAATTACTGTATAAAATAAAATGTTTAACTAAATATAAAACATAAAAGCAAATACTGAACTAAAAATATATCAAAACATAAAAATCAAGCTAGCCAGTAAAAGAAAAAAATGGCAATTAATGAAAATTTAATTAATTCAAATTATAAAATTAGAGAAGAAAAAATAATTATACTAAACACATATATGGATTACTTTCAAAAGTGCAAATGCACTCTTTGATAGGGATGACAAAGGAGCGAAGCAGATATGAATTTCTCTATACCCATCTTTGTCTCCATGCTTGATAGATATGAAATTTGTATCTCTTTTTCATACTCGTCAGGTATCGGATATATCCGTACCTGTCTCATATTCATTTAAAAATTAATTAAATATTTTATTGTAAAAAATATAAAAATAAGAATTTTAACAAAATAATAATTGCAAAATCTTATTAATTAAACTTTATTTGACATAAATTAAAAATAGAGTAAGAAATTATAGAAATTTTAAATAAATTATAAAAAAAATAAATTAAATATTTATAAATTTTAAGCGGTACAGATATAGGGTGAGTATGTATGTACTAACTCCCGTCTCCATATCCAATTTTATGAATCGAATATTATCCATCCTTATATTCATGTATAGTCAAATAAGATATTTTTTTTATCAAAATCTAAGACAAGTATAAACATTACTCACAAGTACGAATTTACTTGTTATCTCTAGCGTTTAATAGTGTATATAAACGACGAATATCTCTTTCTTTATAAATTAGTTTTGTGAAGTTAAGTTAACTTTAAAACTTAAATAGTTTTATTTATAAAATATCCATGTTGATATATTTTCATCATAACTCGTAATTTCAATCACATGTTATTAGGATGTATATTTTTTTTTTACATTTATTTTTAAATTAAGACTATTTTGCTTAACTAAAAGTGATAATTTAAAGTATAAAAGATCATCGAATCATCTGAAATTATGAATTAATCATCGAAGTTGAACTGGTGAAAATTTACAAAGTGTTAAATTTAAAGTTTTATCGTTATAATTCTCCTCGATAGGAAAAATCAATTGTAATAATTTAATTTTGTTGTATGTCCGATCTAATTAATGCTTTTATTACACTCTAATCATACCGGTAATAAATGGATTAGATATATAGTACAGTATGTTTTAAAATTCTAAGGAGATCTTATTAGATCCCAATGTATAATAACCACACATATAAAGATGAGGGAGACATTAGTTGAACTTAACCTTTATGTGCTGAATCAAAATCATCTCAGACGGATGAAGCTGTATTTTTTGTTTAAAAGTATTAAATTTATCTGTTATTATATATTCTAATATAAAATAAAAAATAATTAACTGTTTTAAATTTTGGTGAATAAACTAACGTAAAGGAAAATTTCAAAATTAATAAAATAAAATAATTTAAACATTCGAAATTTGCTTTGTTTGACCAAAATCCAATAACAATTACCAGCATAAGTATTCAACCTCTTTTTTCAAAATATTAATATTTTTGGAGGCTACAGCTGGTTATTAATTATGTATTGTCATTTTCACATAATCAATTATTTTTTTAAAATTATGCATTCAATTCATGATTTTAGTCTCCCATTTATTATTTCATTGACTTTACTTCTTTAATTATATAAAATCCATAATTTTTATTTTATTATAAAGTGCTAATATGTTAATTATTAAAATTACAAAGGATCGTAGTTTAACCTATATATCGTATGATGGAAGTTATCTTTTTTCATTCCACAGTAATCAAATGATGACCACAAATTAGTCAAATAGTAATGGTGGGTAGAAATAACTACAAGGTCGTGTTAGAATAAGTCTTCTGAATTACACCTAATCGTTCTCATCATTCTCAATCCATACCACATATATATTTTGTTCCTCGAATCTGCATACAAAAATATCAACTAATGTAAGGACAAGCAGAATGAGACTTCCTAAAAGTCAGATAATAACTAAACAATTTTGTCTTTTAATGT